TAATCAGGTCAAAGTTTTATCATGGTATTTTGTGATTATATTGTTATAACTATATGAGTGATGATAAAAACTATTGATTATCTCTTTTCTTAGGTAATTATTTTGCTGATAGCCACACAGATACAAATACTGCTTTTAAAAAACATATCCATTTGTAACACGCTTCCATAGTACACCAGCCATGAAAGAAGAGTGATTTGTATCATATTTTCAAATTAATGAATATTTATTGATAGGTAGGGTAATTTTATGTATATAGCACATTTTCAGCAACAAGGCAGTACAAAGTGCTTTACATGAATTAGAAGGCGATATAAACCAAACAACAAAATCAAAAGAAAAACAAAGAGGTAAAGTACAAAGCTAAATATTGGTTCCCCATGTTTAATAAGAAAAAGAATAAGTAGACAATAATTTAAAAACTAATAGGGGTTTCTCTTAAGTTTGTTCTGGATTAGAGAGTTGGTTAAGTGTAGGAGCTATTTTTTTTTATTTTCAGTTAAATATTAGAATTTGTATTAGTTAATCTAAACAGAATTTTTGTTGAATTCTAGTTATTTAGAATGAGATTTTTGGCTAGTAATTCACTTCATTAGTTAATTTATTTCAGTTTGGGACATGGGTGTTTCACAGTATGAATGCATAGGTTTTAGGTCGCTCTTTATGAACATGGGTGGTAACATGGTTTATTTACCAGTCTACCCAGCTAGTCAATCAGTCAAAGTTTGACTAGCTGGGTAGAAGAGGGGGAGTGTGTGGAGGTTCCTCCATCTTCTCAGTTTAAGTGTTCTTTTCTTTAGTGTTAGTATTTAGTTAATGTTTTATATTGATAATATTTATATTGGTTATATCACTTTTTCTTTGGTGGGTTTTGGTATTAAGTTGTTTACTAGATTGGTGCACACATTTATAAACGCTTGGTTTATTAGAATATTAATTATTTTGTTTTTGGTTGAGTTGAAGGACTGGCTGGGAGGAGTTGATTGTCTCAAACCAGTAATTGGAACCAACCATCAGGCTGCGGGAAGCAGGGAATTTGATGTGGAAGACTCCTCCTCTCGCCTGTTGACATCTTCCTCTCACTCTATTGTTATAATATTTATGGTGTTAGGTTGTTTTGTTTTTTATAGTTGTGTTAAAGTAAAATGTTGTGATTTGAATTTATTTATGTTTATGTATTGTGGTTGTTTTGTTTGTTCCCCCACCCCTCCTTGTGTGTGTGTGTAGGCTAGCCTTTGTATTATAAATTCCCCCTGTGTGTCATTGTAAAGAGTCAGTTAGTTTTGTTTGAGTTGGTATGCTTTAGTTGATTATTTTTTTGGGCCCATTTTTCTTATATTTCTTTTTGAAATTTGTTGTAAAAAAATCTTTAACTCTTTGAAAAATTAAATAGTTATTTTTTTATGCCTTTGTCCTTGAGTTTGCTGGTCGGACCATCACACTTCACCATTCAGTCTGTCCAGCCAGTCACAAGCGTCATTCTGCAGGTGAGACATTCAGGTAGCCAAACAATAGGGCTCATGTGAAGTTTGTACCATGCTTTACCTGCAACTATGGAATAAACAAAGACCTGCATTTTTGACTTTTTGATCTTTTTTGGAACTGTGAGCCAGAAACCCACAGTGTATCAAGTGGCTATTTGAATGAAATTCACATTTACTTTGATCACTTTTAAGTTTCAAGTTTTGGATTTTGGGATTTTGAGTTTTTGGACAAATAGTCATTACATTAAGTATAAAACTAAATGTTGGTTCCAGTTGTTCTGGGTTGCTAAGAAGACCCAGAACAAATTTGTTCTAGATTTGTAAAGTATAAAGAAAATGTATTGAAAAGTTTAGTTTTCACACAGTTTGTAACAGCTCACCTGGAGTGAAAGCTCTGTGAAACTGATAAATATCCTCTCCTCTGAGCTCCTCAGCAATTTGCCCAATCTTCTGCCTGACTCCATCCAGTTTGCTCTCGGCCTCATTCAAAACTCCTTCAGTATCCGGAATGCTTTGCAGCCACAGAAAAACAAAGATCTGAATTATTTTAACTGGAAATCAGAACTGGTATTTGACACCAGGCATACAAACAGAACTTTTGCATACAAACATAGTAGCTGTAATAGTCTAAATTAAGTCTTGTCCTGGTTCTGAGGAAATGTAAAATTTCACAATGTGCCATAAGCAAAATAAAAATGTGAAAAACAGGAATTCAAAATAAGTTTTTAAATAAAAGACAGAAAATTATTTCTCAGAAAAATAACCTGAACATACTTGGTCACTCTATGCAGAAGAAAAATGCTCCTCTTGCTTTCAATGGTGATGTCTCGACTGATCTTAAGGAGGCGCTCATATTTGTCGTGTCTGGTGTCGAGCTCCTGCTGGAAAACTTTAAAAACAGAAAGAAAGTTTTAATATTTATTAATGAAAGAGACTTAAACATTAAAAAGTGATGACAAACTACAAAGGATGGACTTACCTTTAAATGCAGCGATGACTGGTGAGGATGAATTGGCATGTGCGTCACGCTCCTGTGCAGCTTCAGCATTTCTCCGTGACCAGCCCTCACCTGACACCATGCATAAGTAAGCAATGATGGAAAGTGAGCATTTTTAAAAATCAGATTGGTTGCTATTATTTTCTGTAAGCTTAGATTAATAAATTAAAACTCTCACAATATGAAAAAAGTGTTGCTTTTTTGTCTGTTGTTGTTGTTATTATTATTATTATTCTAGACAGAGTTCAAACAGAAGAACTCATTTCCTCACTATTAGCAGCTTATCTGGTGATAGGCTCCACAAATTTGGAGGCATTTGTGCACACTTTCACCCCTTCTAACCTTAACCCTCTCAGGCTCAAATTACTTTAAAAGACTGTCTAAGTTGTTGCAAATCTGCAACACCTGCCTGGAGAGGGTTAAATCTATATGAGGGACCTGAACATGGTGTTTTATTTTATTTAACAGGGTGGCTCTTCTGTTGCCCACCTGGAGTTGGAATGACTAAGTTCTAGCTTTGACATGTGGCCAGTGAAGTCATCACCACAATAACAATGTGTGAAATATGTAGGAGGCTATATTACTTCACTTGTCATGAATCATGCTCTGTAATACTTTGAAAATTTGCAGGAACTCTTGCTGCCCTTGGTATATAATTTTGGGCGGGAGATCCTAAAGCTCACAGAGAGTTGCTGCAAGTAACAGAAAATCACAAACAATATTGCCAGAACAATTAACAATAATAGCATTGCAGTTGGATGTTTTTCTAATATTATAAAACACAAATCAACAAGAAGTGCGCCCCGGAGGCTTTTCATTCATTCAAATAAAGTTTTATTACGAATAAAACTACAGAACACAATCTGAGCAATTTATTTATTCTAGATTTCATGATTGGAGCATCTGAGTAAATACGGTTGAATACAAAAACACAGAAGTATACGATTGTTCCTTTTATTTCACTGTTCTACACTTTAGTATAAGATAAACATAAACCAACAAACATAAATACGAGTAATTAGAGCTTTAATACTGAGCTAAAAAGCCCCAATACAACAATAGGGCAAATAGAAATTAAACATTTATGGCTAAAGTTAGCTAGTGCATAAATGAACTATAAAAGATGTGTTGTTAGCTAAATAAAACTGCTCATTCTGAGCATTTAACATAATTCGTCTGAAATTGTAAGTTGTCTTTGACTTACCTTCTCGCTTATTCATCCTTTTAGAGGTACAGTTTGTTTTTTCCCTAAATTATAAAGTCGGCTCTCTACGAGTGTCTAAATAGTGTTACTAGATTAGCTTTCGTTGGCGGGGTGCAGCAAACAAAATACAACCGGTAGTCTGTTTTTGGATTTTTAGACAAAAGGACAAAACTCTACCTCATTTTCACTACCATCTCCAAGCTTGATCAACATATAAAATAATCTCTGCGCAATAATTAAGCCAAATAAATGTAGTCTACTTGTTTCTTGATAGCAGGCATCCATGCGGTAACCTCGGGGCTTCTGCGCTGTTTACATGCGTAACAGAAAAGGTGGCGTGGTGCTTCATGGGAAATGTAGTAGAATAATGTGTGATTTTTTCCCCCCACGCTAATCGTTACCTGCAGTTAGTTCTGTATTTCTTAATTTATTTTATCTTTAAACATTGATTCTGTACATCTCTCCTCTGCTCGGTTCACAACTGAGAAAATTGTTACTGTGTCAAATCAAAAACAGAAAATGCCATACATATAAAATTATTTATACCCTAAACAGATTCCCATTTGAAAATTATTTTTTGATGGAAAAATTTCATTTGCAATCAAATTCAAAATTCGTGTAAGGTTGTTTCCAATGTTTATCTTCGAAGCTTAAAGTTGTCCCCAATGTCAAACTTTATCCACCAATGTTTATTGTTATGGGTCAAGATGCCCTGAGTGTTATCCTGACTGTTTAATGCCATCCGGGATGTTTTAACTTTATCATTATGTTTTGGGGTTTTTTGTTTGTTTGTTTGTTTTTTTCTCATTTCACTTTTTTTAAATTAAAATAGGACTTCAAAAACACGCTGTTCTCAGTAATCAATGTAAAGATTTGTTGGCATTTCAGAAATTAGCACATTTTAAAAAATATGATTATTCTGTTCTAACAAAAGGAGTAATGCAAATAAATTTAATATATTTAGTGAAGTATTGGTTGCAATGCATTTGCCAAAATTTGCTGTGACTGAGTTATAGCTATATGGACATATAGTGTAATCCATAAACTGGATGCTTTGCACATTGAGGCATTCCAAGCGGACTTCTAGGACTTACACTGAGCTTTGTTGAAGCTGAAAGAAAATACAAATTGTCTCCATTACTTTTTAAGCATTGGAGAAAAAAGCTACTTTAAATAGATTTATTAAATAAACGAGTATTACTGATTCATTTCAGTTTAACTTTGGAGACACGTGTCTCTAAAGTGAATTTGTCCGACAACCCATGAAGGCAGCCCGGGGGGCGGAGCTTGTTCTCTACGTGACGGTGGGCTGGGCCGGTGACTAACAGTATACACGTAGCTGCGACACGCAGCATAGCAAAATCAACAGCTAGCCCGTTGAAATGCCCCCCGGAGCCCTCGACCCACCCCTCAATACTCGTCCGTGGGAGCACATTGTTGTTTTACTTCACTGGTAGGACTGAGTGGAGACGGAATGTGTCCAGTAAAATGCCGACTTTTTGAGTTTTATTCCGCCGTTTCGCTCGGCGCAGCGAGGCAGAAGCAGCGGGTCTTTTTCCAAAGTTGACGGTTAGCAGCAGGGCGCGTGTGAAGGATCGGACTTAAAGGAGCAGTACACCCCGCTGCAGCCTCCCAACATGGAGAAGCAGCAGAGCGATCTGGACCGCGACAGACAGGTCTGTGAACTTTGTGGAAGAATGGAGAACCTTTTAAAGTGCGGTCGGTGTCGGAGTTCCTTCTACTGCAGCAAAGAGCACCAGAAGCAGGACTGGAAGAAACACAAGCTGATTTGTAAGGAGGCGGACAAGCCGAAACAGAAGCCTGGAGACGGTCCGTCGGCGGGGGACAGCAGGAAACAACGAGAAAATAAAACCACGGAGCAGGGGGATTCTGCAACCGTACCCCCAACTCCAAACACAGAAGCACCTGCTGACGGGGATGGACAGGGAGAACTAGGGTCCAACACCCCCACCACGCCTAATGGCCAGACCAGCCTCTCTCCTCAGAAACTCGCAACGGAGTGCATCGTCCCCTGCATGAACAAGCACGGCATCTGCGTGGTGGACAACTTCCTCGGAGCAGAGACCGGACTGGGTATTTTGGAGAACGTCAAGTCTCTGTACAAGACGGGCAGGTTCACAGACGGCCAGCTGGTGAGCCAAAAGAGCGACTCCATTAAAGACATCCGAGGGGACAAAATCACGTGGATAGACGGGACAGAGTCTAACTGCGAGAAGATCAGCTTCCTAATGAGTCGGATGGACGACTTAATCAGACACTGTAATGGCAAACTGGGGAACTACACTATAAACGGAAGGACAAAAGTAAGTATGACAGCAGGTACACACACACACATCATCAGTAGTTGGATCAGAAATATTCATGCAGACATCAGAGTCTGTTGTGTTTCACTTAAAATGCATGTGCACTACACTAAGTATTCTGGTTTATTCATAATGTATTTATAACTCAAAACTGGCCCTCCAGACGCTCGACTTAACATTAAGTCTGGTTAAATATTACATTATCAATCAAATCAATGCAGTTCTTATCTGTTTACTGACGAATTATATCAATCAGTTCCTACAGTTCCTTGCAAATTAAAGTGGAAATTAATGCAAAATCAACGAATCCCCATACTTTTTAATACATGGGAGGATATTTCAGATTTTCTCAAAAATTACAAACAAATTTCCAACTGGTACTAAACAGCTGTCTCAGCTTTAATTGATGTCAGATTATAGTCCATGATCTGTTCAGCGAGTAATAAAAGATCACATTTCCTATCATAAATAAGTGAAAATATTGCTAATATTTCAAAATTAGTACTATAAACACTTTAATTTTTATTGCAAAAAATCACAAAAACAATAAAAAAATCTGGAGGGACTGAAAAGGTATTCAATATTTTTTAATTTTAAGAATTGAGTTATATTTTTAACAGTTTAATGGGTTTTGTCAATACATTCTGGCACAACTGGGCCTTCAAGAGCATTTATGATCCTGATTTGGCCCAACACTAAAATGAGTTTGACGCCCTTGTGATAAACAGTTGAATGAAACTGAATCAACATGGTGTTGCACGAATCGGGTTTTCTTTTGGCCATTACCGATTTTCTATTCTCTTCTATTTTTGTTCATTTTTATTTCTCTGAAAGAACATAAAAGTAGGGGTGCACTGATTGTAGTTTTCTTACTGATTGCTGATTTCCGATCTTTAGTAAGCCTGACCTGCTGATACTGAGTTTTGTTGTTTGAGATGTTATTATTATTCAACAATGAGGTATAAATTGATTTACTAGTACATCTTGATGTCATTTCGTTTGTTGATGCATGAGTCTTCAACAGGTGAATGGTTGATGCTGTTAATTGTGGATTTAGCCAAGATAAATCATCAAAAGTGGAAATTCAGTTGTACCTGTCTATCTTTTCTTGGTTGACTGTGGCTTTTGGTTTTATTAGTCAATTATGAAATAGCAGGCAATTGACTTTATGTAGCAATTTTCACAGCAATTTTGCTGAGTACAGAAAAAATAAATATAAATCGTCCTGTTTTAAGTGCATCAAAGTATTTGCTCTTGATGTATGTGTTTATAATTAAAAAAAAAGAGGGAAGTTGTTCATTTTTAAAACATTTTGATGCGTTGGAGGGAATTTGATTTTTCAGCATTCAACCTGCCAATTGGTCATGTTGTCTGATTTCAGTTTGTGGCAAATTGATTGATGCATTTCTTTAAATGTCGACTTGCAAACTTGTTTTTTATTTTCTTTCTGAATGTGCTATCCAACACTTAAAAGAAAGAAATACTATAAGAATTTCTTCATGGATCGAATAGTTTTGTGTCTTAACAAAGAAAATCAAGAAATTACAGGATTGTCCTCATTTTAAAGGTGTTTGCATATTTAGTGTGGTGTCTCCATTCTGTTTTTTCTCTCTTTGTAGAGGTGTAGGAACAGACTTTTAGGGTGTTTTCTTGCATTCTCTTTATAATGTTTTTCTACCCATCCAATATTCTAATCTCCCTTTATTCCGCTTCGCTGTTTTAACGCCTCCCCCCTTTTTTCTGACTCCTTGCCCATTGCGTTTGAAATAAACTCAAAAAGGTTTTTTAATACCAAGTGGATCAATGTAACGACTTGTAAAAATATAATTTTTTTTATTTATACATTATGACATGTTTTAAATTGTATTTGATTTTTACTGAACAAAATTGCATCCAGATGCATCCGGTTGACTGATGCTCTAATTTAGCTTTTAACAAATTGTTCATAATGCAACTTTGCTTTTTAGTTTGGACAGATTCAAAATCTCAGGATGCACTTTCAAGAATCTGTATGCAGTTTGGAATAATTTATTCCTGATTTGATGTCAGAGGGAGAGACTTGTAACATTTCCACAAAGACTTTAAAAAAAATGCAGGTAACTAAAAATGAAATTAAACTTTATTTCAAACATGATAGTAGTATAAAATTATGCACCACAGCAATCTTAACATGCTTGAAAAGGAGTAGGAAGAAGTAAGAAACTAAGCATTTTAAGGGTTTTTATTGGATGAGATGAGAAAGCTCAAAAAGATGCAAAAAGAGTCATGAAAATGTACGCTACTGGTATTGTTATAATACATGGTACAGCCTAAATGTAAAAATGTTGGTTTTGGTTAAAGCAGTGAATAAATTACAGGAACGTTGCTCTATAAGTGACTGACCCAGACCAACACATGCAAGGTGTCCCGCTGTTCAAAGTGCACTGACCAGGTTGTGTTTCTTTCTCTGAGGCTGTTTCTAAGAAAATGACGTAAGATTTCCTATGGTTCCGATCAGGCCGAAGCAAAGCTGGTTTGGCGTCTTCTTGGTCGTCGGGTTGCATGTGACCTGCAGCACTTCTTTTGACCAGATCGCTTGAAACTAAACCCGGAGGAACAGAGCAGCTCCCGGCCTTTTCCTCTTCCATCTCTCGCAGGGAAACACTGCATGTGCACTGCCAGGATTTAAGTGAGAAGAAGCTGACAACAGTCTTAACACATTAAATTATTGTGAAATAGATCTTTACCAGGTACTTTCTATTTTATTTTTGACTGTAAAGGAAAGAAAACAGAAGTCGTTTTTGTTTCTGAACTGGAGCTTTTCCTGATTTATCACTTTTTAAAAAGACTTCTAAATTTAAAAAATAAAATAAAAAAACTGAAATGTGAATCTTTCAGTAAGGTGGCCTTGAAGTGCAACAAAACACTCAACACAACTGCAAATTGAAAAACGCAACATAATCAAGAAACACAAGAGATTTGATTCCAATTTTGTACACATGATGACATTTAGAAATAATTTTCAAAGTTTTAAAGACAATTTATCTCTGATATTGACAAAGTATATATATAAACTTTCAAATTCAAGGAAAGTTGCAAGAAACATTTTGTGGCATTTAGCAAATATAAATAATTTTGTTAATTCTAACTAACTTAAAAAAGAGAATTTGATCTGACTTAACTTCAGACAGTGAAATGTTTTGTTTTTGTTGTTTTTTGTATGTATGTCAATATTTGGGTTCAGCTGTATGTGACTGATGAGGAAGAAAAATATTTAAAACAATTCTATCATTTTCCATAATGTATTAAATTTATTATCAGGTTCAATTTAAGCAAAAATAGGTTTGTGGATAAAATTGTGTGACAAATTACAGGTATTGGGTTAGCTTAGCTGCCTGACATCACATAAATTAAAAAAAATATTCAAAACATAATTTTACAAAACTTAAGCAGATTTCATTCGAACATATCGCACTGAGTTTTGATTGAAAATAAAAGACAGACTTTACAGTTATGGTGCATTTGTGTTTTGTAAATCTCTACAACTTTAAAACAAAACTACAAACGTTGTTCTTACACAAAGTGCATTTATATTAAAATATGAACAATCATCAGACAGAAGGAGCTAGTTAACTGTTTAGCTATGTGGTGGCCTCGTGGATATGTAATATGATATGCTGTACAATTTAAAACTCATTGTCAATTAAATTTTTTTTAGCATTTTAAATAATTTCAGAATTCCAAGGACTAGGAATTGTGATATTTGTTTTTAGATATTATTCAGTTTGATCCCCCATAGCTGAAATTATCATTCCAGGTTGGGCATGACTTCCTCATCTGCTGCCCTTGCTGTTTTGGCAAACACTCGGCTGGTCTATGACCGGCAGAAAATAGCATGACTTGCACAAATTGTGAGTCATGACTATCAGTGACTCAAAGGGATACCAAACAATGTTGGCACATTTCAGATTGGAAGACACAGGCGGAAAAGATTTTGCCCAAATATGTATTTAATGCCTTTGTGTTTGTTTTTGTTTCTCACTTGATAACATTCCACAGACGTTTCTGCTTTCTGTGTCCATTATGATATTATTAGGAAGTTTAAAGATTTTATAAACAACATGTTTGTTGTGCATGTAGAATGTTGGTCCTCCTTCATGTTGAAGTTTATAAGAAGTTTTGCTCATGAGTACTGCTTCTCTGAAATGTGCAAGCATGGATCAGTTCCTGGCAGAGATGGTGGCTCAAGTTTCAGACTCTGACTGGAGTGGCACTTAAGCCACAAAAACAAAGACTTCAGACTTAAGGGATGTTTCCACTATGAGTTCCTGAATGTTTTTTGTTCCCCTCCAGTAATAATCTTCCTGAAACCGTTTTATAGACCTGGATTATTATGTGCATTTCAATTGGATTGCTGAAACCTGGGCAGTTTATGTAGATTACGTTCTTCTACAGGAGCTCGAATCTGAGGAAACAAATGTGATTGAAAACAGTGAAATCAAACCAACACAGCATTTATCTCATATTGTTTCAAAAGGTTTCCTCAAGAAAACTTGTTAAACCCGGTGGTAGGGGCGCTCGGCAGTCATTCATCCAGCGGCCCTTCGTGTTTTTGAGTTAAGAAATGTTTAAAGTTGACATGACATTTTGAGATATCACTTGATAATTATGTATGTGCAATATTATTATCTGAACACCAACTGTGAAGTGTTAAAAAATGCAAACGTTAAAAAAACTCCTTAAATAAATAAGGTTTATTTGCCTTATTTATTTAAGGTAAATAAATAAGGCAAATTAAACTTATTTATTTACCAGGTAAAGCTTGGTGTGTCCCCACCAAGCTTTACCTGGTGGGGACACAGATAAAGCTTGGTGGCCCGCCAGGCTTATAGTACACTGGGGGAACCCCTGGTTTCATAGCGGTTACCATTTAAAAGCCTTTGGCTGCATCTGTAAAGCAAATGCATTGTTGGAGGAGATTTTAAATGTAGCGTACCAAATTGGAAAACAAATCTCATGAT